TTGTAATAATCATTGCATCATCGACAAAGAGATTCAGCTTTATTTGACCAGTATCTGGCCACTTGGAGTTCCTCTGATGTTGCTATAAGAAGGGCCTCCATTGTGTATGTGGCAGGGCTCAGGTTGCATTGCAGCAGGTGGTCAGTGGTTTGCTCTTCCCCACACTCGAGAGAACGGATGTCTGCAAGGATGTTACACAGGGGACGCCCGGATATTTTTGATGATTTTACCATCCTTCTGGGAATTTTTCTCTCATGTCCCCGCATAGGGAGCTGGAGCTGGAGCTGACAGAGGGAGCTCAACCCGCTCTCTCCAGATTCGAACCGCTGACCTGTCGGTCAGCAGTCCTGCCAACACAAGGGTTTAACAGGAGCCCCCAGTGGCACAATGGGTTAAATATTATTATTATATGTATTGTTGAAGGCTTTCATGGCCAGAATCACTGGGTTGTTGTAGGTTTTTTCGAGCTATATGGCCTTGGCCATTATTATTATAGGCATATAGATATTATTATTATTATTATTATTATTATTATTGTAGAGGTATTATTATAATTATAGATGTATAGATATTATTGACATACAGATATTATTATTATAGTTGTATGGGTATTATTATTACAGACGTAGAGATATTATAGGCTTATAAATATTATTATTATTATTATTATTATTATTATTATTATTATTATTATTATTATAGATATGATATAGTATAGCTATTATTATTACAGAAGTGGAGCCCCCGGTGGCACAATGGGTTAAACCCTTGTGCCAGCAGGACTGAAGACTGACAGGTTGGGGGTTCAAATATAGGGAGAGCACGGATGATCTCCATCTGTCAGCTCCAGCTCCCCATGCGGAGACACGAGAGAAGCCTCCCACAAGGATGGTAAAAACATCAAACATTCGTCCTTGTAGATGGGTAATCTTTTCACAACAGAAACGACTTGCAGTTTCTCAAGTCTCTCCTGACATGGAAAAAAGGGGTTTAACGCATTGCACTACCAGGAGCTCCCGGAATAATAATAATAATAATTTAAAAGCCAAGTCCCACGTGACAGCAGGACTGAAGAGAAACAACTGGAAAAGCTGACACGATACGAAGATTTAAAGATCGAACTGCAAAGGCTCTGGTCCCAGTGGTGATCGGCACACTGGGTGCAGTGCCTAAAGACCTTGGCCTGCACTTAAACACAATCAGCACTGAGAAAATTATCATTTGCCAGCTGCAAAAGGCCACCCTACTGGGATCTGCACACATTATTTGCCGATATATCAAATAGTCCTAGACACTTGGGAAGTGTCCAACGTGTGATCCAATACAACCAGCAGAGTGATCTTGTTTGCTGTGGACTCATCTTGTTGTTTTTCAACAACAACAATTATTATTATTATTATTATTATTATTTGTAACCCGCCCTACCTCCCCAAGAAGACTCTGGGCAGTTTCCAACAAAAATGGAAAACATTATATGCCAAAAAGCAAACAGCAAATCACAAAAGAGACCACATGGGCCATCTAGTCCAACCCCACGCCAGGCAGGAAAAGAACAATCAAAGCACACCTGACAGATGGCCATCCAGTCTCTGCTTAAAAGCCTTCAAGGAAGGAGCTTCCACCAAACTCCAAACCAGGGAGTTCCACTGTTGAGCAGCTCATACTCTCAGGAAGTTCTTCCTAATGTTCAGGTGGAATCTCCTTTCCTGCCATTGGAATCCAATGCTCCGAGTCCTAGATTCCAGGGCAGCAGGCAACAAGCCTGCTCCACAGGCTTTGCTACTCTGCTGCGGAATGCGCATGCCCAGTATGGAAAACATCTCACCACATTAAAACAGTGGCTGTGGCTCTTAATGAGCCATGCCGCATTATCACAGGATGTCTACGCCCTACACCACTGGAGAAATTATACTCTTTAGCCGGTATTGCACCACCCGACGTCGGGAAGGAACAGCCTGTAATGCAAGGACCAAGGCAGTGACATCGCTGGCCCATCCTCTGTTCGGCTATCAGCCAGCAAGCCAACGCCTTCAATCAAGAAATAGTTTCCTAAGATTGACAGAGATACTTGCAGGAACACCTCAGAAAGCAAGAGTCCCACTTACTTACTTAGGCAACCACTCGTTGTCCAGGGATGATGGTCCTCCAAGTGTAGTGTCCTGGCAGTGGGTCCGTAGGTAGCTGTGGAGCCCTATTCTTGATCCGCATGTTCTCCTGCAGTGAGGACATCAGTTTCCCTGTGGAAAGCAGTCCCAGTCAGGGTTGCTTGATGCACCTTCCTCTTGGCACGTTTCTCCCTTTTGTCCTCCATTGGTGCCTCTTCGAATTCTGCAGCACTGTTGGTCACAGCTGACCTCCAGCTAGATGCTCAAGGGCCAGGGCTTCCCAGTTCTCGGTTCACTTGCAACAGAGGATGGCTTTAGGCCTATCTTTAAATCTCTTTTCCTGTCCTGTTTCCCATTCCTGAGTTCAGAGTATAATAACTGCTTTGGGAGACAATGATCAGGCATTTGGACAATATGGCCAGTCCAGCGGAGTTGATGGCATAGGAGCATCGCTTCAATGCTGGTGGTCTTCGCTTCTTCCAGAACACTGACATTTGTCCGCCTGTCTTCCCAAGAGATTTGCAGGATTTTTTGGAGGTAACACTGATGAAATTGTTCCAGGAGTTGCATGTGACGTCTGTAGACAGTCAACGTTTCGCAGACATATAGCAAGGTTGGGAGGACAATAGCTTTATAAACAAGCACCTTGGTCTCCCTACAGATGGTCTCCCTCAAACACTCTCTGCTTCATTTGGGAAAATGCTGCACTCGCAAAGCTCAGGCGGTGTATTTCGGTGTAAATGTTGACTTTTGTGGAGAGGTAGCTGCCATGGTAGGCTAAAACCCAGAACACCAATCAGTGGAAGAGACTGATTGCTGCACTCGCAGAACACCAATCAGTGAGTGAGACTAAATACTGCATTCACAGAGCTCAGGCGGTGTTGTATTTCAGTGTCAATGTTGACTTTTGTGGAGAGGTGGCTGCCATGGAGAGGTGGCTGCCGTGGGAGGCTAAAACCCAGAACACCACTCAGTGAGACTGATTGCTGCACTCACAGAACACCAATCAGTGAATGAGACTAAATGCTGCACTCACAGAGCTCAGGCGGTGTTGTATTTCGGTGTCAATGTTGACTTTTGTGGAGAGGTGGCTGCCTTGGCAGGAGAAAACCCGGAACCTCAAGCAATGGCTGATACCAAATTCTCATTTGGTATCAGGACTCCCTCCTGGGCACACAGAAGACTGGGAGACTTGGAAGGCACTGAACAGACTGCGCTCTGGCACCACGAGATGCAGAGCCAACCTTCAGAAATGGGCCACAAAGTGGAATCCTTGACATGCGAGTGCGGAGAAATAAATAAACCTTTATTTATACCCCGCTACCATCTCCCGCAGGACTCGGTGCGGCTTACAAGAGGCCGAGCCCAAATACATCTTAAAACATAACAACAACAATACAACAATAAATAACTCATAAAAAAGCAAAACAATATGATAGTGACACGACGCAATTAAAAACCGGTGGCAGGGCCAAATGTAAGAATTAAAATTTTAAAATGCTGGGCATGTCCAGGGAAATAGGTTGGATATTTTAAAGATAGGTGGGCGTGCAGACAGTACTAAATCTCTCGTAAAGTGCATTTGGGACATATTGCTCGGGAGTCCTTATTCTGGGAAACCACAGACCACCTGCTGCAATACAGAAACCACAGACCACCTGCTGCAATGCACTCTGAGCCCTGCCACATGCACAATGGAGGATCTTCTTATAGCAACACCAGAGGCACTCCAAGTGGCCAGCTTCTAGTCAAAGGACATTTAATATAATGCCAAGTTTGTAACTTTGTTTGTGGTTTTTCTATTTTCAATTAGCTCCTGACACGATAAATAAATTTAGTTCACATAGCCCATCATGTTTTGTTAGATTAAACGTAAAGTTAGAGGTTTTCCCCTGACATTAAGTCCAGTCGTGTCTGACTCTGGGGGTTGGTGCTCATCTCCATTTCTAAGCCACAGAGCCGGCATTGTTCCTGTAAACACCTCCAAGATCATGTGGCCAGCATGACTGCATGGAGCGCTGTTGCCTTTCTGCAGAAGCGGTACCTATTGATCTACTCACATCTGCAGGTGTTTAAACTGCTAGGTTGTAAGAAGCTCGGCGTAACAGCAGGAGCTCATCTCGCTCCCTGGATTCAAACCCCCAACCTTTCAGTCAGCAAGTTCAGCAGCTCAGCGGTTGAATCCGCTGCACCACCGGGAGCTCAGTTAGGTTACTTTACGCAAATATCTTTTTTTTTTTTAATATCCTCCCTATATCACGGGATCTCAGGATGGCATCCAAATAAAGTTAGTTTGTTACCTCCAATCGGTGCCTTCCTTCAAATGGCTGATTAAAATATCACTACTTTTGTATTCTTTCGTTTGCAGTTTCTATTAAACCATTTTGCATGGGGAAAGGAAGACTTTTTGGCACCCTCTTATAGCATCATAGAGTTGGAACAGAACTCATAGGCCATCCAGTCCAACCCCATTCTGCCAAAAGCAGGAAAATCGCCTTCAAAGCACTCCCGACAGGTGGCCATCCAGCCTCTGCTTAAAAGCCTCCAAAAGAGGAGCCTCAGGTTGCATCTACACTATAGAATCAACATGGCTTGACTCCACATAGAATCCTAGAGTTGGAAGAGACCTCATGGGCCATCCAGTCCAACCCCATTCTGCCAAGAAGCAGGAATATTGCATTCAAATCACTCCCGACAGATGGCCATCCAGCCTCTGCTTAAAAGCCTGCAAAGAAGGTTTCATGAACACTATAGAAATAACCTGGCTTGACTTCACTTTTAAATGCTAGGGAAATCCAGGATTTGTAGTTAGGCGAGGAAGTGGCTGTGAAGGCGGTAGACCTTGGAAAACTGCAATGCCCATCCAGGAGTCCCAACATTATAAAACAAGTTCACTGCCCAGCCTCATGATGGCCCTCTTAGCCAGTTTATAAAGGCATCAGACACCATTCCAATCACTCTTTCCACCATTGAGCCAGGGTGGTTAAAGTGGTATCAAACTGCATCAATTCCTCAGTGTAGAGAGCCAGCCCAACATAACAAAGAGCAAACACCTCTCACCCTAATAAAGTGGCTTCTAGATCAGACATGGGCAAACTTTGGCCCTCCAGGTGTTTTGGACTACAACTCCCACAATTCCTTACCGGCTGTTAGGAATTGTGGGAGTTGTAGTCCAAAACACCTGGAGGGCCAAAGTTTGCCCATGCCTGTTTTAGGTGGCAAACTAGTTCTCACACCTCATTGGGGAAAGCAATATTTGGAGAATGTGACCTGGCTTGCTTGCTGATTGGGTAATTCGCTGGAAACTCCAGCAAATCTCTTTCCAACTTTCCCAATCAGCCATGCCCTTGCCTTGCTGCTTTCCCCATTGCTGTGTGCATGGTTTTGGGAATCCATGTGTGGTTTCCCCCTTTTCCTCTCCGGATCTGTCCCTTTAAGCTCACCTCTCTCTCTTGCAGCCACTCAAAGGCAAGCAGAGCCTCCCAGCCAAGCAGGAAAGAGAGCCTTGCAGTTGCACCACTTCCAGGTCCTGCTCAAATTTCCCAGGACTTCCTCCTCCTCCAGCTCATTCCTGGTTAACTCCTTCCTGCCCTCTCTCCAGTAGCTCCACCAGGCAGGTTGTATTGCAAACACAGAGGTTTCCTCCTGCTCCTTGATTCCTAGAGCTGGAAGAGACCCCCACCCCCCCAGAGGTCATCCAGCCCAACCCCAGCCTACCATAAAGGATGACACCATCAATGCACCCCGACAGATTCTGTCAAAGCCAAACTTGAGCTGGCTTCCCCAGATACAAGCTTCTGTTCTCACCTTTCACCAAATCATAGCATCCTAGAGACTTCCAATCCAACCCCATCCTGCCATAAAGGATGACACCATTAAATCACCCCCGACAGATGGCCATGCTGATTCTGTCAAAGCCAAACTTGATCTGGCTGCCCCTGATACAAGCGTCTGTTCACTCCTTTCATCA